GATGACGCCTCCACTGCCTAATGCACATCAGACAAGGTAACCGGTCTATCTCGGATTATGCTATTGAATTCCGTACCTTAGCTTCCGAGGTAGACTGGACTAACAATGGGTTAATCTCAGCATTCAAAAAGGGTCTCTCAGAGACTATACTAGATGAGATGGCCGCTAAAGAATTACCTAAGAGTCTTAACGAATTTATTACGTTTGTCATGCATATTGATAATAGGTTAAGACTCAGAGAAGTCACCAGAAGCAAGACCAGGCGTACGGCTATGTCCCTAGCACCTCAATTCTCTAAACCTGTTTTGTCTAACCTCCCTGTACAGTCCGAACCCGAACCTATGCAGTTGGGGGTCACTAGACTGTCAGAGGCCGAAAAACAGTATAGGAGAAAGGAGGGGTTATGCCTATATTGCGGTAGAAAGGGACATATGATAACTAATTGTCCAGTGCGTCCGGAAAACTTCCGCACCTAAGAACCTTAAGAGGACAGATCTTAGGTGTGATGGAGTTGTCCTCTAACAAAAACAAAAGTAGATTCCTCCTTGAGGTATCTATTTCCCTTGATAACAAGAAGTTTTCTTGCAGTGCCCTAATGGACTCAGGTACTGCTGGAAATTTTATTGATGTCCAGTTTATTAGGGGTAATGAGATACCGGTCAGGGAGAGACCTACGCCGCTAGCTGTAGAGGCTATTGATGGTAGACCACTCACACAACCACTTATAACCACCGAAACTGTCCCTATTACGATCTCCATTGGGGCCTCCCATAGGGAGGAGATGACGTTTCAGGTTATTACTTCTCCATCATGTCCTATCATATTAGGGTTTCCGTGGCTGAGTAAGCACAATCCTATATTGACTGGGCTAATGGGGAGATATTAGAATGGGGTAAAGAGTGTATGGGGAGATGTATAAAACCAGTACTAAAGAGATTGGATACTATTGACCTTCCACTACCACTCCCCAAACTCCTGGAGTTCCCATACAATACCGAGAACTTCAGGAGGTGTTTAACAAGGCTCAATCTGATGTATTGCCTCCCCACAGAGCATATGACTGTGCCATTAACCTGTTTCCAGGTGCTATGCCACCTAAGGGGGAAGTTTATGCCTTATCTCCCCAGGAGAGTAAAATAATGGAGGAATACATCAAAGAATCCTTGAGCAAAGGGCACATAAGAAAGTCATCCTCACCAGCTGGTGCAGGATTCTTTTTTGTTGAGAAAAGGGTGGTGAGTTACGCCCTTGCATAGACTACAGGGCACTTAATAAAATCACTGTAAAAAATGCATACCCTATCCCACTCATTTCCGAATTGTTCGATAGACTTCAGGGAGCTAAGTATTTACTAAGCTTGACCTTAGGAGCGCTTACAATTTGGTTAGAATTAAAGAGAATCATGAGTGGAAGACGGCATTTAATACCCGTAGTGGACACCATGAATATCTGGTAATGCCATTTGGGTTATGCAATGCCCCGGCCGTATTCCAAGACTTTATAAATGATGTACTCAGGGAATTCATTTACTCATTTGTCTTGGTTTATTTGGACGATATTTTGGTGTATTCCCCTGATCTTCAAACTCACCACTCCCATGTGAAACAGGTTCTGCAGACGTTGTTGAAAAACAAACTTTATTGTAAATTAGAAAAGTGCATATTTGACCAGCCTGAAGTCCACTTTTTGGGTTACAACATCTCTGCATCGGGATTTCAAATGGATCCTAAAAAACTAGAGGCTGTACTACACTGGCCATTACCCTCTGGTTTAAAAGCTATTCAAAGGTTTATTGGTTTTGCCAACTATTACAGAAGATTCATCAAGGGATTTTCTTCTGTAATAGCCCTAATCACAAATATGACTCGCAAAGGGGTTAGTAGCACGGTATGGTCCAAAGAGGCTGTGAATGCTTTTGAGACTCTTAAACAAAGATTTGCCTCTGCGGCCATACTAAAACATCCCGACACTAGTAAACCTTTTATATTGGAGGTTGATGCATCCGAAACAGGGGTAGGGGCTGTTCTCTCTCAGAGAGAAAGCCAGGGAACACCATTGCATCCTTGTGGCTACTTCTCCAGAAAGATGTCTCCTGCTGAGCGCAACTATGATATTGGCAATAGAGAACTGTTGGCCATTATTCTTGCCCTCAAGGAGTGGCGACATCTTTTGGAGGGTTCCAAAGACCCCCTGTTGATCATAACCGACCACAAAAATCTGGCATATATATATATAGGGGATGCCAAACGTTTGTCTTCCAGACAGGCTAGATGGTCACTGTTCCTTTCACGTTTTAACTTTCTCATTACTTATAGACCTGGTTCTAAAAATACCAAGGCTGATGCCTTGTCCAGGCAATTTGATAATGAGTCAGCTCCGGAACAGATGACATCTCCTATTATTCCACCAGAGTGTATTATTGGTACTACTGTCCTCTCACTGTCTTCTCCACTGTTTGGCACCATACTGGAGGCCCAGCCTCAGGCGCCCAGTGGTAAACCGTGTGATAAACTGTTCGTTCCCCTATGTGAAAAGGTTAATATCATGAAAGTGTTCCATGACAATATAACTGCTGGACACCCGGGCATCAACAAGTCCACTGCCGCGATCACTAGATCATTTTGGTGGGATTCACTCAGGAAAGATGTAAAGGAGTATGTGCAGGCATGTTCTGTGTGTGCAGTTTCTAAGGTGACTCATACACTTCCTTGTGGCCTGTTGCAGCCTCTTCCTGTTCCTGAGATTCCATGGTCCCACCTATCCATGGACTTTATTGTTGAGCTTCCTAGCTCTGCTGGGTTCACTACTATTCTCATGGTTGTAGACCGATTTTTCTAAGATGGCTCACTTCATTCCTCTCAAGAAGTTGCCATCTTCGCAAGATTTGGTCCTAATTTTCATACGTGAAATTGTCCGTTTGCATGGCATCCCCCACAATATTGTGTCTGATAGGGGCTCTCAGTTTGTGTCCAGGTTCTGGAGAGCGTTCAGTAAACAATTGGGGATTGATCTCTCCTTCTCCTCCTCCTACCATCCACAGACCAATGGTACAGCTTAGAGGGCTAACCAGTCATTAGAAGTTTATTTGCGTTGTTTTATTAATAGCACACAAGACAATTGGTCCGAACTACTCCCGTGGGCCGAGTTCGCTAGAAACAATGCTGTTCATGACTCCTCTGGGCACAGTCCATTTTTGTCAATAATGGTAGGCATCCTACGGTTCTCCCTGCGGTATTTTCTGATACTGCCATTCCTGCTCTGGATGAGCATCTGGCCTCCATTCGGGATACCTGGGTTAAGGTTCAAACTGCTCTAGGGGCTGCTGCTGAACGCTTCAAACATTTTGCTGATAAGCGTAGAAGTGCCAACCCGGTGTACCAAGTGGGGGACCGGGTTTGGTTGTCATCTCGCAACATCAAGCTTAAGGTCCCTAGCATGAAGTTTGCCCCAGATTCCTTGGTCCCTATAGAGTGCTTCGTAGGATCAATCCAGTGTCTTACTCTCTGGCTCTTCCTGCATCTTTAGGGATTCCCAACACTTTTCATGTGTCCTTCCTCAAACCTCTTGTCTGCAATAGATATACTGTTCCTTGTGTTCCTCCCCCTCCGGTGGTGGTGGGTGGTCAGGAAGAGTATGAGGTATCTTCTATCGTGGATTCTAGGTTTTCTCAGGGCACTTTACAGTACTTGGTTGTTTGGAAAGGTTACGGTCCTGCTGATCGTTCTTGGGTTTCGGCACCTGACCTGCATGCGGGCCGTAAGATCCGCGCTTTTCAAGCTAAATTTCCTCTCAAGCCTGGTCCTGTCCGCCCGGTGGGCGTTCTTCAGGTGGGGGTAATGTCACATATTCATCCGCTTATAGAAATGTGGTTAATGACATTTACTGTCCACACAGGAAAAGTTGTGCCGAGCAGCACCCTAATACACAGAAGGGTTAATGCTGAGCAGTAATTGTGCAAATTAAACCTGGTGTCATGTATTCATCCCCTTAGAGAACAGTGATTAATGACATTTACTGTCCACACAGGAAAAGTTGTGCCGAGCAGCAACCTAATACACAGAAGGGTTAATGCTGAGCAGTAATTGTGCAAATGAAACCTGGTGTCATGTATTCATCCCCTTAGAGAACAGTGATTAATGACATTTACTGTCCACTAGTGATGTACCGAATGGTTCGCCGGCGAACGGTTCCCGGCGAACATAGCATGTTCGCGTTCGCCACGGAGGGCGAACATATGCGCGGTTCGACCCGCCCCCTATTCGTCATCATTGAGTAAACTTTGACCCTGTACCTCACAGTCAGCAGACACATTCCAGCCAATTAGCAGCACAGCCTCCTAGCAGACCCTCCCACCTACTGGACAGCATCCATTTTAGATTCATTCTCAAGCTGCATGCTTAGTAAGAGGAGGGAAAGTGTAGCTGCTGTTCATAAAATAGGGAAAAGCATAGCTAGGTTAGGGATAAGGGTATGCTTTTTTTTTTATTTTTTTTTTCTATGTAATGTAAATGCACTTAGTTGTCTGCCACTGCCCTTGCCAGCTTCTGTGTCAGGCTCACAGTGCTTATTCCTGATCCAGTGCCACCAATTACATCTGGTGTCACAATAGCTTGATTTAAAACAAAACTTTCACTGTTATAGTTGAATGAGTCAGTTGTCTGCCACTGCTGCCAACTTCTGTCAGGCTCACAGTGCATGCTGTGCCCATTTCCCCAGTCAGTGCCACCACTTATATCTGGTGTCACAATAGCTTGGATTTAAAACAAAACTTTTTTCACTGTTATAGATTGAATAGCAGTCAGTTGTCTGCCACTGCTGCCAGCTTCTGTGTCAGGCTCACAGTGCATACTGTGCCCATTTCCCCAGTCAGTGCCACCAATTCCATCTGGTGTCACAATAGCTTGGATTTAAAAACAAAAAACTTTTTTCACTGTTATAGATT